TCGCTGAGGCTGCTGCTGAGACTACCCACCTCAGCTGGGCTCAGAACAAACTCCAGGGCCCTGGATGGAGACGAGAGGGGTCCAGGGCATCAAACCCTAACTTCCTGAGGGTCCAGTTCTAATCCTCAGGCCACCAAGTTTGACCTGCTTGGGCCCCAGCAGGGAACAGCCCACTGACACCTGGACGCCCACCCGCCCGCAGCTCTCACCTTCTCATTCTTCTCCGGCGGAGCAATTCTCTGCTCAATCTGCTTTATCTTCTCCTCCCTCATTTGCTCGGCCCGCTCCCGGGCCTGCAGCACCTTGCGCAGGCGCTCCTCCCGCTTCCTGTGAGCACAGGGCCATCAGGGGGTCCAGCCCGGCCTGGGCGCACAGGGGCTGGGAGCTGAGCCACTTACAGCTTCAGCTCCTCCAGCCGCCGCCGCTTGTCCTCCTCCACCTTCAGCCTGCGGAGCTGCTCTGCCTCCTCCTTCCGCCGCAGGTTCTCCAGGCACTGCTGCTCCTTCTCCTGGGTGGGAGGGGGTGTGAGCAAGGCCAGCCCAGTGCTGGGCCAGGGGCATAGCTGGCCCAGGACAACCCCCCAGGCCCACAGCCTCCAGCCAGATGGGCAGCAGCATCAGACTGCTTCTGAGGGCAGAGTCGCCCCCAAACACCCTCCATTGCCACCCAGACTGAGGCTTGGCCTTCCGTCTTGCTTCTTGGGGACCCTAAGGCAGCGGTTCTCAACCTGTGGGTCGCGACCCCTTTGGCGGTCGAACGACCCTTTCACAGGGGTCGCCTAAGACCATCCTGCATATCAGATATTTACATGACGATTCATAACAGTAGCAACATTACAGTTATGAAGTAGCAACGAAAATAATTTTATGGTTGGGTCACAACATGAGGAACTGTATTTAAAGGGCCAGAAGGTTGAGAACCACTGCCCTAAGGCCTCCCAAGGGCCCGCGTCACCAGTGCCTTCGACTTAGCCCTGCCAAATTGAGGGCTCCACAAAAAATAGGTTCAAAATTGGATGTATGCTCTGAGGATAACTATGTTCAAGTGCATTTAAAAGGAGAACGAAGAACGAGATTGGGAATTTATTCAGTGCTTTGTAACTTTTTTACGCTGTGTGTGTGCTTTAACAAGGAATCACAAACATTCTTAAGACAACTGGGAAAACAGAAAATCTCAGCAAGTAGATCCAAAGAAGAACAAAATGGAAATTTCAGAACTAATAATTAAAAACTGAAATAAATTCCGTGGATGGGTCCAAGAGCAGATGGAGAAGACAGACGTCAGTCAAACACGAAGATAAATTAGTAACATGTGTCCAATCTGAACACAGAGAAACATATGGAAGAGAAATTAATAGAGCCCGAGGCAACTGTGAGACGACATCCAAGAGTCTGTCACTTGTGCCATCATTCCACAGTGGGGAGAGTTCAATGCAGGGGGAAACGTGGAAAAGTAATGGCTTGGAAACACTCCAATTTGCGTAAAAGCTATAAATTCACAGATTCATCGAAACCCACGTAGCAGGATAAATGTAAGGAAACCCATGTCTAGCCACATCATAACCACACAGCTGCAAACTTACTACAAAGGGGAAAATTCTCAAAAGCAGCCACAAAAGGGGTGAGGGTGGGACAATGATTTGAACGACTGAAAACTTCTCCTCAGAAACCATGGGTGCCAGAAGGAAGTGGCACAACATTGGAAAGTGCTGGAAGGAAAGAACTGTTAACCAAGAACTCCATCTGTATTCAATGACATTATCCTTTAGAAGTGAAGTGAGACCGGTGACAATGTCCTCCAGAAGTGAAGTGAGACCTTCTCAAATACAGAAAAAGTAGAGAATTTGTTGCCAGCAGACTCCTTCTCAAAGAATTGCTACAGGAAGTTCTCCAGACAAAAAAGAAATGATACCAGAAGGACACGTGAAACATCAAGAATGAAAGAAAAAGAAAAACGATAAATATCTGGGTAAATATCGCTAGACTATTTTTTTCCTCTAGAGTTCTTTACAGTGTTTGACAGTTGAAAGAAACTATAACACTGTCTCACAGGGTAGTCCATGTACGAAGATGTAACATGTAAGAGAAGAATGGCACACAGTGGGGAGAGCAGTAAGATTTCTATATTACAATCGAACTGATTATCAATTCTAAAGTGGCTGTGAACATTAAGTATGTAATGCAACCAGTACAAGACTGCAAAATGAGATAGTCAAGATCACAACAGACAAATTAAAATGGAATACTAAAAATATGTTCAAATATTTGCAAAATGTAGATTTTACTGTATAATTTTCAACATAAACTTCACAGCCCTGACTGGTTTGGCTCAGTGGATGGAGCATCGGCCTGCGGACTGAAGGGTCCCAGGTTCGATTCCGGTCAAAGGCATGTGCCTTGGTTGTGGGCACATCCCCAGTGGGGGGTGTGCAGGAGGCAGCTGATCGATGTATCTCTCTCATCGATGTTCCTAACTCTCTATCCCTCTCCCTTCCTCTCTGTAAAAAATCAATTAAAAAAAAAGCTTCACTGTATAATTTTTAACATAAAAGTATTTTTTTTCTTTAAGATGGAGAAAGAAATAGAAGGAAAGAGAGATGACCATGCGTCACAGAGGCTGAGCAGGGTACAGGAAGGACCTGGAGGACGGTGGCCTTTGGGAGGCCCCCACAGGGAGGGATTAGGTGGCCCGTGGCTGGCTCTCATTCTCCAATGGCCAGACCCAGAGAAGACCAGCAGGAGGCTGGTCCTCGAGCCATCACACTCACCTGCTCTTCTGTGAGGAAAGCACCTTGGAAGAAAACCCGGCGGCCCAGAGGGTGCCCACCACCATCTCTTCCTGCCCTAAGAGCCCAGCAGACTCCTGCTTTCGACAGGGTTCAGCAAAACAGGTGTTTTTTTAAAAAAATATATTTTATTGATTTTTACAGAGAGGAAGGGAGAGGAATAGAGAGTTAGAAACATTGATGAGAGAGAAACATCGATCAGCTGCCTCCAGCACGCCCCCTACTGGGGATGTGCCCGCAACCAAGGTACATGCCCTTGACGGGAATCTAACCCAGGACCCTTGAGTCCGCAGGCCGACGCTCTATCCACTGAGCCAAACCGGTCAGGGCCAAAACAGGTTTTTGTCTCAAAACTTGAGAGCTAAAATTTCCCAGCACAGGGCAGAAGACGCATCCTGTGCACTGTGAATTTTGTAGAAGACAAGAGTTGTTCACATCCTAGAACATACTTCTCTCTGCCCCAACCCTTGGAGGAGGGCTGGATGGTCCCTGCTCCCCAGAGGCCACCGTCACAGCCAAAGCAGAAGGCGGCAGGAAAATCAAGCGTCTGCCCCTTCTGCCTCCAGGGGCTTCAGCCGAGCGGTCTCCCTTCCTGCCAAGCCCGGTGCTGGATGCTGGACACCTTCCTCCCTGTTCATCCCATCTCTGTGAGGGCCAAGGAAACTTATGCCCAGAGATTAGAAAACTAGTCCCTTGTGACCTAGTGAGGACCCCTGGTCTCCTGAGCACTGTCCTACCCTCACCAGATGCCCTGGGCAGGGACCTGGGCTCCCTAAAGCAGGAAAAGGCAGCTTCCTAGACCTCTCAGCCACCCCATGCGCCCTGCAAGGCCCCACGCAGTCTGGATTAGGCACAGGAGTTCCCTGTAGGATGAAGAGTCTGAGCCTGGTTCACTGCTGTGGGACTGGTGCCTAGTAGGGGCCTGGCAGAGAAACAGGTATTAAGGGCTCCCTACCCACTTGCTGGCATATTGGGAGGTAAGCCGTCGCCATGGCTGCCCAGAGACCAGCCTCTTGCAGGAGAGGCCAGGTCAGGGTCCACCCGCCCAACTGCTCAGAAGCACCTTGACCTGCCAGCCGCACGGCAGTACTGCTGAGGCCCTGGGTGGGGGCAGAGTCCTCGCAGGAGGCCCTTGGAGGCACCAGGGGGGACTTAGAAATGAAGCGGCTGCAGCTTTGCAACTCGGAGCCCGAGAGCCAGGACTCAGGCCAGCAGGTCCCAGTTCTCTGTGGCTCCTTGCTCACGGCAGGTGGCCCGGCCCAGCTCTGAGGTGTCTGGGAAGAGAACAGCTTCTGTGGCCTCCTTTTCAGAGGCCCCTGCTGACAGTTCCACCCACAGTCACCTGTCTGACCTTCAAGCACCCATTGCTCCGCCCTCCCCTCAGGGTGGTAGCTCAGGTGTGCGGCCCAATAAATCTCAGCTCAGACCCTGAGAGGAAGCCCAGGGCCGGGCAGGATGGATGGAGGTGGCTCATCCCCAACGAGTGTGAAGATATCACAAGTATGTCCTACACCCAAACCCTCAAGGCACTGGGGTGTGGGATGGGTGGTCAGGGAGTGGGCCTGCTAAGCCAATTCTTCAACTTCCCAGCCCAGGGGTCACACCGAGATGGCCAAGCCTCTAGGCCACAGTACAGAACCCAGGAGGTCAGGACAGCCCCCACATGTCGAGGCAGCCCATGGCCGAAGAGGCCTGAGCAGGCCCTTGACCAGAGCCAGGTCACCTGCCTTAGCGCAGACCCACGCTGCTCCCAGCAGCCTAGGGCCCATCCAGGCGCCTGCAGCCATGCAGCCCCACCCTAGCAGAGCTCAGCCTGGGGCACGGGCTCCCTCACCTTAGGGTCCACACGCAGGGGAGTGTTCCGCTTAACGAAGGATTTGATGACACGGCTGCGGGAGGCCGAGGTCGGGGTCATGAGCATCTGGTTCCTCTGCATGGTGTGCAGGAAAGTCCGGACAGGCTGTACCACCAGCAGACGGGACCAGGGTCAGGACCAGGGGCGGGGCAGAGGCCCTGAGGGCAGGCTGACGCCCACTCACCTTGCTGGCTGGACAGGGCGGGGAAGGGGTCTTGCTCCGGGGGAGCTGCAGCTCCCCGTCCAGCTCACTCACAGCTTCCTTGTTGTTGAGCTTCCTTCTGCTGCTGTGCTTCCTCCTACAGGTGCGGGAGGCAGCAGCGTCACGGGGCTGACCCTGGGGGACCCCTCCAGAGCCCTAGCCACACCCCATAAAAGTTCACCACTATGAAGAAAACTGGGACCAGCCCATAGGACTCTACGCTTCGGAGGTGGGGTCTCCCTGACTGGCCCTCCACTGCCCAGGCAGACAAAGGGAAGGGGCCGGTCCAAGGTCACATGGCCAGGAGGATACAGAAGGATGGAGTCTAGGATCTGGTCGCTTCCTCCCAGGCCAGGCTCGTTCCCCAGCATCAGGCTGCCTCCTTCATTAGGTCAGAGCACCAGGCCCCTGACCACACGCCCAGCCTCCCCAAGAGGACTCGAAGTTCATGCCCCTCTGGGCCCCTCGGAATAGTGGCCCACACCCCTTCCCAGATACAAACCTGATACTCTGCGGTGGCTCCTCGGGGCCATCTGTTTGATGGATCTTGGCCTCTGTGAAGAGAGCGATTCAGTGAGGGAGCAGTGACAGCATGGAGGGTCGGAAGGGGCCCACTGGTGGCAGCTGGGCAGGGCTTTCTCCTGGCAGACCCCAGGGTGACCAGTGGCAGAAGCATCAGCCTTAGCATCACTGGCCTGGGTAGATCTGTGGACACCCAGAGCCAGCACGCAACCCCCGGCCATGGACTGCTCACCCCCCAGCCCGGCCTCTGTGAGGAGAACTACAGGACAAACCAGGACCTGCCACCTCTAACAGAGCTGGGGTGCCTTTCAGGAGCAGAAGCCTATGGAAGGTGCCTGCTCTAACAGACCCACTGACGAGCTTCCAAAGCCCACCTCCTGGCCCTCGCAGCTGGAGCCGATGTGATAGGAGGGGAGGGTTCCTATGCAGGGTCCCCATGGGGGGAGGGGGGCAGTCAGTCCATTTTGTTTCACTGACAGGACAAGCACTGATCCTTATGCCAAAGGATCCCTGCAGCCCCCCAGGGAGCTGTGGGGCTGGCATGCCATTGTCCCTGACCCGGGGTCACGGGGGAAGCCGAGTTCAAGACCTCGCAACTACAGTGCTCTTCCCACCAGGGAGAGGTGGGCTGGACCCCAGGCACCTGTGGCAGACTGGGGATGCCAGAGCCCAGAGCCTGTGGCACTCCGTTCTCTGTAGACAGGGACCCACAAAGGTGAGAAGTGAGCCAACAGCAAGGACAAAACAAGAGGCCAGCACACAGCTCCTCCTGCTGCCCCCCTGGAGTGGAGTTCCAGGCCTGCCCCAATTCAGCCGCACACCCCGCCCCCCCCCCAGCCTCCTCCCCCGTTTCCTGTACCAACCAGTCATGGCCACTCACATGACACCTGGCAGCAGCTCCAGCCAAAAGGTGGGAGATGGGTCTCATTCACCTTCAGCTTATCAGCCCGGAAAATGTGGCTTCCCTCTCCCCAGAGAGAAAGTCCGACCGACCGAGGCCACAGGCCCGCATGCCGCTAGGTGTCTGCACATGGCAGGTCAGGAAGACCCACCTGGCTGCCCTACGGAGGGCTTGTCCTGGCCACCGGCCGCAGGCTGCGAGCCGGGCGTGCTAATGACAGTCTTGGGGGCACCTCGGGGCCACAAGGTACTCTCTTCATTCTTGGGGACCTGAGGGAAGAACCAAGACTGTAGGGGTCTACCCACGAGGCTTGCAACCAGGGCAGCAATGAGCAGTGGCAGCTTGTCCCGGGCAAACCCCGTGAACCTGACCCCAGTCCCCTTTTCTCTGACTTCTTAGGGAGCCAAAGCAGTCCACCTAGTCCTTCTCCTGTTGCTTCGACTATCCTAGACCCTTCCTGTTTCTTTAATTAATGTACTCTGAAATTAAAAATAAGCCCTAGTCAGTTTTTCGGTTTGGCTCCGTGGATAGAGCATCGGCCTGCAGACTGAAGGATCTCAGGTTTGATCCAGTCAAGGGCACATACTTGGGTTACAGGCTCGATCCCCGGCCCTGGTCGGGGCATGTGCGGGAGGCAACCAATCAAGGTGTCTCTCTCACATCGAAGTTTCTCTCTCTCTCTCTCTCTCTCTCTCTCCCCTCTCTCCCTCCCCTTCCCCCTATTACTCCCCCTTTCCCTCTCTCTCTCTCCCTCCCTCTCTTTCACTCTCTCTAAAAATAATTGGAAAAATATCCTTGGGTGAAAATTAACAGAAGAAAAAAAAAATCAGACTTTAGGAGTCTGCACCTGGGACTCACAGCACAGAGCACAAGCCCCAAGGCCCCCGAGCCCGCCCTGGCCTGCTTGCCTTACCTCGGGCCCAGCCTCCTCCACAGGCTCAGCCTCCTCGCCGGGGTCCTCCTCGGGGCTGAAAGCAGAGAAGGAGAGACTGTGAGCCCACCAGCAAAATCGTCCCCACAGGAGGGCCGCCTCCAACCCCTGGGGTAGAGACCCCGGAGGAGTGCGTGGCACATCTCGGCCAACCCTCTGGTTTTACAAATGAGGAAACTGAGGTCAGGGAGGCTGACCACACATCCCTGTGGCTGATGCCGTTCTCGAACCTGCGTCCTCTACCCAGGGCCAGCGTGTTCCGCTCTCCGCCTGCAGGGGCTCTCAGCTTCCCCGTGTTTGTGGGCTACTCCTGTTAGTGAAACTGCTGAGTCTGAAGATACTGAGGTGAAGGCATGTGAACAGTCATCGTAGTCAACTCATTCTGCGGGGGACAGCTAGCCGGGTTGGAGTGCTAGTTCATCCAGTTACCTCCCCTGCGACGCTGGGCAGGTTACAGGAACTTCCTTGTCTGGCAGCTGGGGTGATAACAGCATCAGCTGAAAGGGCTGGGGTCCTTTCGTTAACCCACGTAGGGCGCTTAGGAGAGTGTCTGCCATGTACAAAGGGCTCTGTGACTTTAGCAGTTTTTATCCTCATCAGATCCCAGCTCAGAGGACCATGGTCCCAGTGGGAGCCACAGAGGAGGACAGGCAGCTCCAAGAGTCAGGGCTGGCTGCATGGAGGAGGTGGTGTCCTGCTAGGTGGAACAAATGTGGGGAAAGGTATCCCTGGCAGAGGGAACAGCTTGTACGAAGACCCTGAGGCATGAAATGGCAAGTGATGGGGCAGCTGGGGCTCATGCGCCACACAGGGGCTTGGGCTTGATCCCACGAATGTGGAGGATGTGACCCTTGATGGTTGTTGGGAGGTTCCTGGCACTTTATAAAAACTGTCCAAGAGGGAGGGAGGGGGAAACCAAGATGGCGGCATAGGTAAACACCGGAGATTGCTGCCGCAAACAACCACTTCAAAAATACAACTAAAAGACGGAACGGACATCACCCAGAACCAGAGGAAGGCTGGCTGAGGGAAAATTCTACAACAAGAAGGAAAGAGAAAAGCATACCAAGACTCAGAGGAGGAGCAGT